TGGCTGGCTCGCTGGCAGCCTGTGTACCTGCTTCGTGTCTCTTCCCTAGGGGCGGCCAGGACTCACCCCAAAAGCTGCCTCTCTCCAAGCAGTGTCCCACGAGCCAGACCATGCAGGAGCCCGCAGTGAGCTGTTCTGGTCCAGGCTACATGACAAATAAAATGCTGTTATTTCCCATCAGCTTTTCAATGTGGGAGGAGGATCTGGCCATAGGAAGGGATGATCCACACTCATAACCGAGAGCAAGGCTGGGAGCGTCCCCAAATCCTCTCTGTCCCAGGTGGACCTCCCTCAGGATCTCCATCTGGGATATTTTTGCTATAGGGATAGAAATTCACCTTAAGTGGGACATCCCCACTTTGCTGCTGCAGGACGGGCTCCTGCATCCCAGCCTGGTCCTGGACTTTCTCCTGGTGGTCCCAGGGCATAAGGATGCTATCGCAGGCTCTTTGTGGCAGAGCAGTTGGAGAGCCAGGCTCGAAGGCAGTGCTGGAAACTGGAGACAAGGCCATTTTAAAACATAGAATTGAAATTAAATACAGCTGAAATGTCACGATTGAGGGATTGCTGGGGAAGGAGCAAGATACCTGCTGGTCTGGGCGTTGAAATCTCAGGCTCTGAGATTCTCATGGGGTTCCCATCTTCCTGGTGGAAATTTGGAAATGCTGAAGCTGGATTGTTGCTGGTTTTGGGTGCCAGTAGTTAACCAGGCATATTTATCTGTGGGGATTCAGGTCCGAACACATCCGTGGATAATCAGACATGGTCTCTGCAGCAGCTCCACACTCCTCTGGTCTACGCAAAAGACCCGGTGAATGAACCACAGCTGGTGAATATGGGCTGCAGCAGGGTCCTGGAGCAGGAGCGAGGCCCCTGGCTTTGCTGGGGATTTTCGGAGGGGGCACCAGTAGGGGTCTGGTTCGTAGCTGATGTCCTGCTGTCCCTGCAGAGACAAAACCTCTTCTCTCCACTTCAATCCGCAGGACATCCTGGAAGGTGGCAACTTGCGTGTCCCACTGCAGGAACTACACCAAATGATCCTCACCCCCATCAAAGCCTACTCTTCCCAAAACTCGAGCACGGAGGAGCACAGCCGGGACGTGGACTCGCATCACCCCTCCTCCCTGATCGGCTCAGACAGCCAAGGCTCGGACTGCAAGGACTCTGCCGCGGGGGGGATGCAGCAGCACCATTTGCCGGGATGCGAGGGCGAGTCGGGGGGGGCCCCTTTGCCCGAAGGTGACCTGCCCGGACAGTTCACCAGAGTGATGGGGAAAGGTGAGCGGCTGTCCCTTGGTACTGGCCTCCTCGCTCGGGAGGGCTGCTTCGGGGCAGGGTGCGTGCGGTGGGGGG